GGTTAATGAAACATGCATGCATTTTTTGTGTTTTTTTCTTTCTTACAAAACTGTATGTTACACATAATGTTCACAGAATATTTGAAAGGGATGTTTTTTAAATAACAGGCCTGTCAAACAAAGGAGAGTTTGGGGTGTTTCTACCAGTTTGCTAACAAAAGAAAATCCTGTAAGCATATGTTATGCTCTCTGCTCCTTTATTATGTAAGTAGTCAGATGGCAAACCTCATATGGAGTTTAAAGAAGAGTCCATTAGGGATACGTTTTATTGTTAAGTGCTCATTGGTCTTCTTTGGCTCTTAAAGAACCAGCTATGGATCTTCTGTATGTTTCTATAAGTACAGACAACCGGATGCAACAGCAGGAGCCACTCACTTGTGAAACATGTGACCTGGTCGTCTTATCTACCACAATCGACCACGCCAACCCTCTGAGAGATTTAGCTGATGACTTTTCTGGAGGAACATATGATTAAATGCTACTGTGCAAAGGACGGTCGGTGCTCAGATGTTTGATCAGCTTGTCTTCTTGTTTTTTCTCCGCCTGCAGTTCCAGCAGACGTCTGAGCACGCTCTGTTCTCCAGCTCGGTGGTCGACATCTTCACTCAGCTCAACCAGAGCTTTGAGATCATCAAGAAGCTGGACTGTCCCGACCCGGCCGTGGTGGCCCACTACAACCGCCGCTTCGCCAAGGTGGGATATGTGACACAAAAACACACTTTATATTCAGTTCTTAGTGGTGAGTCTCTCTGGAATCTCTGGTTTGTTTGTTCATTCACTTCTCTGTTTTGCTATTCAAACATAAGCAGATGTCTTGTTTCTCACATACATTATTGGCCACACAAACTGTTTTTTTATATAATTTTTTTATAATTTTATATAATTTTGATGCATCAGCACATGTTTCAGCTTTTGTGTGAAACTTTGAGCTCTTTCTCTGTGAACTCTCTCTTGTATAGAACACAGCATCCAAAGCGGCGTCATGTGACCACACTAGAACTGATTTGGCTCAAACGCTTCATACGAGGGGATGAAGTGTTTTTCATAACTCTGCTCCGTCACTGACGCAGAGATGAGAGGTTTTTTTTTGCTTTTTGTTTGTTTGTTTTTCTTCCTAAAAATTCCTTCCTGGAGAGCTCTACTTACACAACTCGTCTTTGACTCATTTGTACCTGTGAGATCCTGACTAATGAGTTTCAGGTGTTTGTTTGCGGAACATAAAACACACAAAGCGTTATGCAACTGAACCTTTGATATCAAATTTTTCTTTCTTCAGATTTAATTTAAGCTTTGCTTTTAGGCGCAGCCATTAACTCTAACAGACGTTTCCCCTGCAGAGGAAGGTGTGTGCATGTATTTGTGTGCGTCTGGATCGATGCGGGACTCATTAAATAAAGAATGGCTAATGTAAGCCATCGCTCTGAGCTGTCCGTCTCTCTGTCCCCAACCTCTGACTGGCTTTTCATTTTCTGCTGCTCCGCTCATGATAATCTCCTCCACTTTTTTCATCTGCTCCCAGCCTCAGCCTCACTTCTCCACCATCTTCCCAGCTTGTCTTTTCTGTATCTTTATATACTTTTGCATCGATATCCGCCTTCAGTTCTATCATCTCTTCTCTCTTTTTGGCCTCTTTGTCACCCAAATCCTTATTTTTCTCCAACAACACCAGTCCTAGTTCAAGTGTGAGATGACAATAAAAGACAGACGTCTGCAGAACAGTACAAACGGAGAGAGAGTCGTACGACTGGAGGAAACTGTACTAAGTAATGCCGGCAGACATCAGGCAGCATGTTTAATGGATGAATATACCATCTGGCTTAGTCAGCAGAAAGCAGAGAAATCTCCCACAGAGAACTCGAGATTGCTGGAAAGTAACAGACACAGTTTCTGTAACTTCTTGTCCCCAAAGTTACCTTCACGACTGACAGATTAACTCACTCAAAAACTCCCTGTGGAGTTTTTACAGCAAACATATATATATATGTGTATATAGCATTCACAGTTTCTCACCAGAAGGCGTCGCATGTTTCCTGACAAGCATGTCGACTGGATTTCTTCCTGTTTTCTTGGAATATTGTCGTTACATGTGCACGTCACCTGATTAAGACATGCTGGTCTACTTAGAAACTAAAGAACAACATAAAAGCAAGACCTTAAAATAGGTCTCTGTGATAAAAGAAGTGTGACATGTACCAGCAACAGACACTTAATTTGTTCGATAGAAGGTTTAATAATCTCACAAAATGCAAGCTCCAAGCATTAGCTGCATGAACAAACGTCAGCACACTTCCTTTGTGGCTCATAAATGATCAAGGTGAGATTCATTCTTTGATTTACGTGTGTACGTTTATTTATTTGTGTTTTAACAAGTCTGACACTAACATATGTGGCTTGGTAAATTGACTACAGTGTTTAAATTCAAAATGTTTTTTTCTTGCTGGTCTTTACTCAAACTAGGTAAATAAAAGTGATCAATAATGATCAATATCGACTTACACATTTTATCATCATAAATGCTAACTGGAGCTACAGTCTTCACTAAGACTTCACTAAGACCTCCACATGAAGTCAGCAGCTGCACAACACAGTTTAGAAGTTTGTTGTGTCTTTGTTTAATGTGTGTTTTGAGGCACTTGCTTGTTTAGTTTCTTTTGTCATGTGTGGGTGTTGCTTTTGGATTTAAGTTTGGTTTTATTTGCATAGATCTTCAATCACATCCACTCGTTTTCTTTGTATTCTCACCGTTTGTTTGTGTTCATTTACGTTGCTGAGCAATGAATTGCTTCACCTCCACCAACAACAGCTGGTTCTTTGCTCCATCCAGCTGACCCTGGAGGCTGGATCGTACCAATCGTTAAGAGGGAATGTGTTAAAAGTGCAAAGCATCAGTTGCCATGGTGATGTAGCAGGTTAAAAGAGTTTGTGACGTTAAAAATCCTGGCTTTAGACTCAACATACCTCACTAATGAACTCATTCATCTCACTTCGTAAAACATTGTTCAGAACAAACTTTCCAGTTACTGCCTGAAACTTTTTTTTTTTTTAGCAGAACAGTGTTTGATGCCACCTGCGTTGAACAGCCTGAGCCTCGCTGCTCCTGAAGCTCAAACGTGTCCTGTGTGTTCTTGTTTCCACAGACCATCACCAAAGTGCTGCTGCAGTACTCTGCCCTGCTGGCCAAGAGCTTCCCCTCCTACTGCGAGAAGGAGAAGATAGTGAGTTCTGCCGCTGCTGCGACGCCTCCCTCCGGCCTCGTCTCTGGTTTGGAGAGAGACCAAACACTCTGAGAGCTAGTCTGCAGAGTGGATTAATATTTTAGCTGCTGCTGCACCCCTCCCGTAGCTTCTGTCTCTGTTGGTTTCTCTTTGTTTGGACCTTTTATCTTCCTGTCATCGCCACTTTATTTAGTTGTTTGTTTTGCTCGTTTTATCCATTTGCCGTCTTTATTTTTACTTTCTTACTCTTCTCTTCCAGCCCTGTGTGCTGATGAACAACATCCAGCAGATGAGGGTCCTTTTGGAGAAGATGTTTGAGTCGATGGGCGCAAAACAGGTGAGCGTAAACACATATTCACACCAGGGATGTTTAATCATCAAGTTTTTCATTTCAGCACTGTTTTGTCTTTCTACTCCGGCGAGGTCTTTTCTCTGTAGTTTGAGGTTGAAGCATTTAAATGGGAAAAAAATTATAGTCGACGCCTGAAAAAAGGCCAGCTTTCACTGTAATACTAATCATAATAATAAAAATAATACTGTCTATATACAGAGCACTTCTCAAAAGTTTCAAAGTGCTTCACAAGGACAGCACAATAAGTACAGATGGAAACACAGAATGCGGTTTTGGAAAAGGTAAAAAAAAAACATTTTTTAGGGCCATAAAAGACACTTTGACAAAAGGTAAAATTGATAAAAGTTTAAGAAGGAACCTAAAAGTCTCTGGACCTTGTTTTCAACACATTTGGACATTTTCTTTTGGACCCCTGAAACAAACAAAAAAAGCTCAAAAGAAACTCTCTAAGTGTGTACAGCTGAAAAAAGACCATGAAAGACAATAAAAGTACTCAGTAAACTCCTACAAACTGTTCTAAAACATAGCAGAAGTCTGTGTAAAGAGGCTGAAACAGGAGAGGTTCTGGGTAAAAGCAGCTGCACAGTCTGGAGTCGATTAGCAGGTGAAACGATGTTGCAGTAATCCAGGTGTGAGGAGATAAAAGTGTGAAAAATTAAAAAGTTAATAAATATTTGAAATATCTCAGAGATGATGAAAACAGGTTTGTACAAGCGTTGCTGTGTGGTTTTATTATCAAACCAAATACAAAGGTTTTCTGCAACAAGCTTGATATGATCCAATAAAGAACCAGCTTCAGTGACAACAATCTGTTTAACAAGCCGAAGTAAATGACGTGGCCTTCGATTTTTAAGAAGTCAATCATGAAGCGGTAATAAAAGCATGGAAAGTGGTTTCTCTGTCTTTAAAAGTTGAGATGTTTTTTGAAATATTTCTAAGCTGACAAAACAAGACTGTACAAGCTTTGCGGTGTTGCTTTGCCGTCAAACCAGACGTCAAGATTCTTTGCAACAAGCTTCCTATGATCCACAAAACGAACCAGAATCAATGACAAGAATCTCAGTTTTATTAGCTGAGATAAATTATTTGGCCTCCAATTTTTTTGAAAAGGCAGCTGTGAAAAACACTGAGTGAAGACAATGATATTCTCTGTGCTCACAAGGTGTTTTAACATGGATTTCATGTTCGGATCTGTGGGAGAAGAAAGGTGTGATGTGAAAGACAAACACCGGCGTAGTATGAGTCACACGTGTGAGTCAGACGAACTCGCCGAGGACGGACAACCGGCAATAAAACCATGGAATAGGCACTCATCGGTCAAGACTTCATACTCTTTAGCGTTTTTGAAAAGAATCCAAAGGACAAAACGTTTAAAAATGGGTCGAGCAGGACAAAATGCGCTGATGATCCACCCCTTTTTTTTTTCTGTTGGCATGTTCGCACACATATATTTGGGTCACCTCGCCGTCCTCCAGATGTGACCTAATTACCGCAATGGAGCCGTTTGATATGTATTTGGGTTCATCGGTCGATACAAGGAGAAGCAGCAGAGTCCACTTTTACATGCAATCTTTATTTTTTTGCCTCTTTGCACAACTTAGAAAATGAAAATAATGGTTTTGTGTAACCTTTTGTATTCATTGTGGAAAGAAAGGAAGAAAGATGGGAAAAGATTTGAAAATTCACTTGACAAAGCAGTCTTGCTTGAATTAAAGCAACCTTGTTAATGTATTTCTTGAATAATATGAGAAAACCAGGTGTGGGAGGGGGGAAATAGTTGATTTTGTTGGAGGATAAAGGTGCAAAAGATGCAGCAGGAACTCAAGAAAAGCTGAAGCTTCTACAGCGAGCAGAACAAGTGAAATTTAGTGTTTGTTTCTCTTTGCAGTTAACTGCTGAGGAGGAGAGGGTATGTTCAAGTCTGTTTTTTTTACTCCTGTTTTTCCCCGTCAGTCCTCGAACACAAACCTCCCAAACAAACACCTCAGTGAAGTAAAAACCCAACCTGAGCCTCTTTCCAACCTTTTTCCACCCAGTAATGTGTGTTTGTCTATTTTTAGGCTGATCCCAATTTACTCATAAACCAGAGATCTTAGAACTCCTCCTCCTCCTCCTCGTTCCTCAACACCCAGTTTTCGCTCCCACAAATAAACTCTGGTTTTTCCATCTTCCTGATATAATTTATGTTTAAAATCAATGCTGTGCTTTTTACGGTGCTGCTCCTGCTCCCCAAAAAGCTTGAGAATGAGGAGGAACCCGACGAGTGCGACGAGGAGGTGGGTCGACTTGTTTAAACCTTGAAGCTTTAGAGTTCAGTTTGGAGGCCTGGACTGGTTTGATGTGTCACAAGCAGGCGTAGCTCATGAAGGATTCAGGGATGCTTTACATTTTAGTCTTGTGATGTTCTTGCCAAAATCCAAATATTTGCCATGAGATTTGTTTTAGATTAGTTTCTGAAATCTGAGGTGACTCCCACAGATTTTTCATTTCATTTTTGTGATTAGTTCGTTTTAAATAGCTCAAAGTATGTGGACCCTCATGTCATACATGTAATTCCAGATTCCAGAATGTTGCTTTGAAAGCCTCTACTTTTCTGTGAAGGCTTTCCACAAGAATGTTTTCACTCTGGTTGCAAGAATTTGCTCCCATTCAGCCATGAGAGCGCTAAAGAATTGGACCACTAACAATAATGTCTGGCTTGCTGTTAGTTTTCCAGTTAATCCCGAAGGTGTTGGATGGCGTTGAGGTCAGAGATCACTGCATGCTGTCACATTCTTCCACAGAAAACAGGGAAACCATGGTTGCTTTTCATTTGGCTAATGTGTCTTCCTTCACGCTACCAAATGAGCAATTCCATAGCATCAAGTCTTAAACCAAGATTATACTCCTTTTTAGATGCACGCATGGACCTGTTGTTGCTGTTATGCTGCCTATCTGGTCCATTTGAGTCTTCTCGGAGGACTTGGTTCCATATTTGCAGAGACCTGAGCAGGTTCTCATGTACTTGCGTACGCAGAAAGTATAATTCTGGCCTTAAGCGACCCCCAATTATTGCACAGCTGTGAGATCAAACCAACATCCGTGAAGGTGCTGCATTTAAGTAAGCGTTGGGCCAATGTTGTGCCTTGCATCTGCAACTATGCGAGCATATGCATGATGTAAGTTTCATACATTTTTCAAGTCCACACGAACCCCTCCATGGACAATATTGTGTCGCTCAAAACTTTTGCTTGGGGCAGTCATGTGAATGCACAGAATACGTAGAGATTTATTGTGCTGATATTCATGTTCTCACTAAAGACTCCAACGTAGTGCAGTAACAATAACCAATCCACATCCATCAAGGATTACAGTCTACTATTGAACACTAAACCACTCCTGCAGAGCTCTGAACACAAGTCATCACTGTACATCTGAAAAGGCACTGCTGGGATTCGAACCCAGGATCTCCTGTTTACTAGACAGGCGCTTTAACCAACTAAGCCACAGCGCCCTCAATTTGTACTGATGGTCACATGACTTAAATGTTTCCTTGTTGGATAATTTGTCAAAATTGGTTGAATCAGTGCATGTTAAGTGGCCCCACAGGCGCTGCTGGGATTTGAACCCAAGATCTCCTGTTTACAAGACAGGCGCTTTAACCAACTAAGCCACAGCGCCCTCAATTTGTACTGATGGTCACATGACTTAAATGTTTCCTGTCCGTGTCTACATCAGCAAAGGACTATAATCAAGGCTTTGCGCGTTCCGTCAGCTACCTCTGCCTGGTGCTCATGGGAATATGAATATGAGAATATGTAGATCAGACATACTGAGTTTTTATAAAAATTAAGCCCTTCAGGTTGACTCCAGGAAGTCTAGAAAGTAGTATAGCAACAACAACCACAGGTCAGTGGAGTCTGCAGCTGTCCATGGGGGAGTATAATCATGACTTCAGACCTCCAGCAGATGTCTGAGAACATCTTAGGAATCATCAGCCTGCCACAAACAAGTACAACTGTGTGAAAAGGCACTGCTGGGATTTGAACCCAGGATCTCCTGTTTACTAGACAGGCACTTTAACCAACTAAGCCACAGCGCCTTTAGTGAGTGAAAAGTTCCATGACTTAAAACTCATGAACACTGAATGAAGTTGGAAAAATGGTCCAGATCAGTTGAATCTGCATGTTTTTGGTGGCCCAGCTGTCTGTGTACTTGTCCATAAGGGAGAACAATTAACACTTTATAGTTATTGCATCTGTAAGTACATAAGGGTCCTCTAGAGCACATGATATAATTAACGTAGTCTCCCCATGCCAGCAAGGGTAATTGTGGACCGCTCTGTACACGTCCATGTGCAGCCCATAACTTGTATCTGCACTACAAGGGGAGTATGTGCAGAACATATAAACTCAGATATGCTGCATAAAAGTTCTATAAGACCAGTGTTTTACATTTGCAAATATATTGGTGACCATGTGGTCTTTGCCCAAGTCTGCAAGAGCCCCTGTTGACCTTCTGTGGATGTTCAAACAAGTCATGGGTGATTGTACTGCTATCAAAAATACAGAACTATCTGCGAAGGCGCTGCTGGGATTCGAGCCCAGGATCTCCTGTTTACAAGACAGGCGCTTTGACCAACTAAGCCACAGCGCCTTCTGCATATACAACAGGACTGGGAATGCAAAACAAATAGCCCCATGACTCAAAACCCATGAAGATTACGTTGGAAAGTTGGTTGAATCAGCACATCCATTGGGTCCCAAACTATCTATGATTAAGGCTGTGAGTACCCATGGTCAGCTACCTCTACCCAAGAGTGGATCCCTTTGTGGCTGTCTGTGTGCAGCCCAAAGTTAGCGCTTCCCACTACCTGCGCTACAATGGCAGTGGTGATCATGCTGGGAATAGGTAGCTTCGACCTACTGCACTGGTATCACGTTGAGTCTTCTGAGTAAACTCCAGATAGACTAGAAAGAATTGAAGTAACAACAACCACAGGTCAGTAGTTGTCTGTAAGGAACGATAATCAAGGCTCGAAGCCAAAATCCCTCCTGCATATTAGAATCTGAATACAAGACATTATTTATCACTCTACCACTGACAAGTACAACTGTCTGAAAAGGCACTGCTGGGATTTGAACCCAGGATCTCCTGTTTACAAGACAGGCGCTTTAACCAACTAAGCCACAGCGCCTCCTATCTACACTAAAGAACAACAGTCAAATCACTTAATCAAAAACTTTGACCAACTAAGCCACAGCACCTTTAGTGAGTGAAAATGGCCACTAGTTCCATGACTCAAAACCCATGAAACACTGAATGAAGTTGGAAAATCAGTACAGATCGATTGAATCTGCACATTTGTAGTGTCCCAGCTGTCTGTGTGCATGTCCATAAGGGAGAACAATCCACACTTGAAAGTTATTGCATCTGTAAGTACATAAGGGTCCTATAGAGTACATGATATAATTATAGTAATCTCACAATGCTATCAAAGGTATGTGTGGCCGCTCTTTGGACATCCATTTGCAGCCCATAACTTGTGTCAGCACTACAAGGGGAGTATGTGCAAAACATGTACATTCAGCTATGCTGCACAAAAGTACTGTAAGACCAGTGTTTTACATATCTGCAAAGATGTTAGTGTCCTTGTAGTCTCTGCAAGAGTTCCTGTTGACCCTCTGTGGATGTTCAAACAAGTCATGATTGATTATACTGCTATTGACAATAAAGAATTGTCTGTGACGGCGCTGCTGGGATTTGAACCCAGGATCACCTGTGTACGACAGGACTGTAGGATGATAGGAGACAGGTGCTTTGACCAACTAAGCCACAGCGCCTTCTACATATACCACAGGACTGGGAATGCAAAACAAGTAGTCCCATGACTCAAAACCCATGAAGATTATGTTGGAAAATCGGTTGAATCAGCACATCAATTGGGTCCCCAACTGTCCGTGTGCATATTGACAAAAGACTATAATCAAGGCTTCATTCTCTCTGCGCCCGTGATTATCCATGGTCAGCTACCTCAGCCCAAGAGTGATCCCTCTGAGGACGTCTATGTGCAGGCCAGAGTTAGTGCTTCCCAGAGTCTATGCTACAACAGCAGAGGTGCTCATGCTGACAATATGTAGCTTCGACCTTCTTCGTTTGTATCACATTCTGAGCAAACTCTAGGTGGACTAGAAAGTAGTGAAGTAACAACAATCACAGGTCAGTAGTTGTCAGTAAGGGAGCAAAATCGAGGCTCCAAGCCAAAATACCTCCTACACACTCGTATCTGAACACAAGACATTATTTTATTCCTCTACCACTGACAAGTACAACTGTCTGAAAAGGCACTGCTGGGATTCGAACCCAGGATCTCCTGTTTACAAGACAGGCGCTTTCACCAACTAAGCCACAGCGCCTCCTCTCAGTGCAAAACTGTCTCATGGCTCAATGGAACACTGGATAATAGTGAAAAATCAGTTTAATGGAAAGAGGAGTCTTCTGAGTGGATTTATAGGACCAGTGTTATACATCTCCAAATATGTTAGGGTGTGCTAGGGTCCTTGAACCCAGGCTGTGTTTATGAGACAGGTGCTTTGACCAACAAAGCCACAGTGCTGTCAGTGTCATTGGTTATCCAATGGTTCCATGACTCAAAACCAATCAAACAATAGATTATGTAGGAAAACTGACATGTTGACTTAGTCTGCAGCCCAAAGTCTGTAAGTATGCAAGCTGAGCAAAAACGTACATACGTACATCTGTTGCACATCTATCAAGTGGAGTCCTCTGAGTGGACTGGAAAGTAGTATAACAACAACTAAGAGTGCATGTCCACAAGGGAGTATAATCGAGGGCTTATACATAAAACGCTCCTGCAAAGGATGTCATTTCCTGCTGTACGCTTCTCCTCAAGCCTCCTTGTCTTCTCGAGGTACATTTAAGTAATTGTAGGATCCTTTGTGATGGCGAAAAGGAAACAATTTCTGAGAGAGGACGCAAGGAAGCACAAGTTAGAACAATAAAAAAGCCTCTATGTCTTTATGCACCAGGCTTATTGAAACATTTTTGCACTTTTTTAGTGGATGCTGCAGCACTAAGATGCCATTTTATTGCAACCAAGAGACCAAGAATAATAATAATAATTATAATAATACATTTATTTTGTATAATCAGCGCTTTTTAAAATACTCAAATTCACAGAAATAATGCCAAATAGTGTCCACATACTTTTGGCTATATAGTTTATTTGCAGTAAAATCCCCCCAGAGCTGTTATGAAAATAGTGTGTGAGCATCATGTGGCGTGATGGGAGAGCACAAGTCTACATGTTTGTACGTTTGAAGAAATTATAAATAGTGTGATATTAAAGTGGACACAGGTTTTTGACAGAGTGTGAGTCTTGTTAAGTGCTTGGAGTCTGTTTGTGCTAAATGCAGACAGGATTTCGTTGTTAACAAGGTCAGAGAAGGAACACAAGACAGAACAAGATTGAAACTTTCTTACATTTGCCAAAACCATCTGTAATTGCTGTCATTGAACGTTGTGCAGAAACTCACAAGCAGAATTATCATAAATTAGTGTCTCGTTTGGTGAAATATTTTAGTGGACAGCCAGGTTCTCACTAAACCTCAGCAGAGCTACAGTTACTCTTCTTGTGTGTTTGTTTTCTCCTTTTACAATCACATTTTCTTTGTCCCGCATTTTATGTAATTTGTTTGTTTTCATTTCCACGCAATCTCCACCAGGCCGTCTCTGACAATGAAGGGGAGGATAACATGGTGGGTAGGATGCATCAGCACACGCTGCCAGCAAGAAAAAAAAAACAACAAAAAGATAGAAAAAAAATCCCTTTTAGTTTTGCTAATTCACCTTGTTTTTATCTTTTAAAATAACTGCTTTTGTTTGGCTCTCTTGGTTCGATGTTTATCGCCACCAGTCAGAGGAGTCCAAGGTGAGAGAGGCTTTCTAGGTCACTGCCACTGCTGAGCTTTTCATTTCATATAATGTCCTCGGTTTTTCATTTTTTTAACTGTTTTTTGTCTCATTTCACCTTTTTTCCTTCATTGTCGATTTCAACACCAGTCTGCCTGCTCAGACTCAGAGGGATCTGAGGTAAGAGGGAAAATACTAAAGTCTCCTTCAGTATTTTATCTTCCTTAAATCTCAGATATGTTTTGTATGAATGCAAATTTGTGTTTGAATAGAAAGTGCAGTTTTCACCACATTTTAGCACATAGTCCTCCTGTTGATTCTGAATTTGCACCGAAACCCGACCGCTTGTGCAGCTAGAGGTCATGTGTCTCGCTCCGTAGCAGCTGCCATATTTCCAGTGTGTTTGTAATCAAAATAATTGGCAGTCATTGTCGTTTGGAGTTGGTTTGGACTCAGAAAGTCACAGCTGAATCATCGTTATCGTACATTAGTGAGAGATTTATTGAGCCTCTTTGTCCTCGCCAACTGTCCTTGGATTAATGTAGATGTGAAGGGAGGCAAAAGCACAAATTTGCTTCGGACTCCTGCATAAAGGAGCTGAAATGGTTCTCTCTTTGTCAGATAATTGCGTCTGTTTGCACGATCCCATCAATCAGAGTAAGAATTTAACAATATGTGTTTTCAGGACTTGAAGAGAAAGTTTTCATAAACTGTCCAGAAGAAATCCATCTTTAAATTGCCTTTCATAAACTGATCGTAACCCCTTTGAATTCTCCATCTGCTGCCTCCTAAACACAGTGGTTACATCCCTCCATAGACGTGATGCAGAAAATACCCATAAAGCTTTCGGTGCCACATGCTGGCGAAGCTCTTAACACATTTACAGCTGTGCACCAACGCAGACTGCCTCCTCCAGTGAGCACTTAATAGACTAGACAGTGGGCTGCCAGATAATTGAATTTGATAGCGTATGAAAACGTTGTATTTAGCCAGCACTAAGTGACTTCTTCAGATGGTTTTGTCTGTCAGCTGACTGGGGGAGGGGGGTCGATAGAGAAAGTCAGATATAGGAGCAGAGGGTGAAGGAATGCAAAGTGTAGCAGAGCTGGTTAATGGATAAACTTACTGTAATCTTCACAGATGCTAAATGGGATGTTTTATCGAAGACATTCACGCTGGTGTTGGGCGGCAAACTGTGAGGCTCCTTTGTTGTAGCCGGAGCTTCGAAGGCAGAGGATATTTTCTGTCTGACATTATAAAATCAGCGTACGTGGTGATGAAAATTGGTCTGAAAGCCCTCAATCTGTGAAATTATCCCCAATTTCCTAAATGTATCAGGAAAATTTAATGGAACCCAACAGTGATGCTTTGCCGACGCCGTCTCCTGAAAACTGACATTCCTATGCAGGTGAACTGCACTGTAAAAACAGAAAATGTTAGATAACACTGTATTGTTATTTTACAGATGCTTAATGTTTTTTGTTTGTTTGTTTTCTAAATAACATAATGTAACTCATAAAATGAGAAAGAAAGTATGAACAGGCCAAAACTGTAAATAATGTCCACATCCAAAATAATTTTCTTAATTTGTAATTCATTCTTTTACAATTGTTTTATTTTGTCCTGAAATTACAACATTTTCACTCTTTTAAATTAGCAATATAATGTACTTTTACAGATATTTGCTGTTATTTGAAAGAAAAATGATGTACATTGAGGATTTTAAAATGACAAATCAGTTTTAAATTATTCTACAGATTGTCTTTGTTTTGTTAAATTACAAACAACGTATAGTAAAATCATTGGAAAAGTACTAATTCACATTTAGACTGAAAAAAAAGAGACCAAAATATCAAAAAATATCCCACCAAAAAAAAGCAGTATTACAAAAAACAATAAGTTCTTCTACTACTCTCGAGAACACCAAAAAAAGAAGACTGCACCATGCTGAAAAAAGAAAAAAAAAAAAAAAGAAAAAAAAAAAAAAAAAAATCAAATAAAGATATTTGCTGATATTTTCACCATTTTTACAGTTTTTGAACATTACATTATGTTTCCAGCATTTTGTATGTATATTTTCTGGCACCCTTGCTGTTGGAGTTTTATTTTTTCTTTTCGTGTGCATCCTTAACATTTTGAGGAAAATTGTAATCCACATATCTTCGCCATTACTTTCGTTGGTTTACTGTCACTGTTTATTAACCATCTGATCATATAATAGATGAGGCCAGACTTGTCTCATTGGAAACTAAAAAAAATGGAAGAAAAGCTTCAGATATGTTGGGAAAGCCTCAAACCGTGATATTTTCCAAAACTTAGCCAAGCAGTGAGTGAAAATGAAACTTCAGTGAAAGAATAACGTGAAGGCTCTCTCATAAAAAGTCCTTTCCAACCTCCTAATCCGGACTTTAGCGTTTCTCTCAGTGCAGTATTTATTTTTTTCCAATAACAATACAGTTTTGCTGCATAGAAACATCATTTTAGGGGGACAGTGTTGCATTTTTTTTGCAGTATTGTGTAAAAAAAAAAAAAAACGGGCTGAAGTGAATAATATTTTGTCCTTCTCATGTTGGGTCTACTTGTTAAAATTTGACAAAAAAAACACAATAAGTATAACAAAGAAGTGTAATAGAATTCTTTCAAAATGTGAGAATGCAGTTGAATTGAATAGAAAAGAGTTGAATAGAGGTCGCTTTGCTCCTAAAAGATCTGTTTATAAAGAGAACTCTCCAAAGACTCTTATTGATCAAGAGAAGAACCTCAAATTGACCCCAAGTTTCTTTTTTTTCCCCCAAGTTGTTCTCCAAGACCTGCTTTGTGGAGCTTTAATTTATTTCTGCTCTGACGGTAAATGACCTCTGAAAAGAACGTCTGAAAACAGCAGTCAGGTGCTCATTTATTTGTCGTTTCA